CTATGTTGTATTCAGTGAGAAATTTACTGAGTTCTAATCTACGCTGGTTTACACCGTTAGCATTCCATAAGCAAATTTTCAATTCACTAATTTTTTATTCACTAAAATTTGCAACAATTGGTTTTGAGCGTTTATGAGGTCTTGAATCATATTTTGCATAGTAGACATGAATTGAGTCATACAATGAGTAAGATTCAATATCATTCCTTCTATGCCACAAGTAGGGGGGTTCGGCTGCATTTGCTCAGTATTATTCCTTTGAATATTTGCAAATGTTTCTTGATTGGAGTTTGATTTCGCCGTGCTTGGCTGCGTTTGTAGTTTTAACGCGTCGGTAAAAGAAACGTTGGGAACTCGCTGCGCATTGGCAAAAAAGGCTCCCGGTGTAATGGTTGATGGCGTGAGGTGTTGGTATGTATAAGAGCTAGTTGGTGTGGTGGAAGAGCGTACGGCTGTGTTTCGCTGATTGATGCGAGACTTTAAGTCTTTGTATACAGGGCATCCCCTATAATTGGCGGTGTGGTTACCTCCACAATTACTGCATTTCTTTACAGCCACATCATCTTTGATAGCCTTGCAAGAAGAGGAAGCGTGAAGGTCGCCACAGGCAACACACACTGTGCCCAAATTCTTGAAAATTTGTGCACTGTACGGGACCGTTTCGCTTGTGCGGCTCCTCCACTGTTATTCTTCGGTGTAGAAGGTATCGTAGATTGTAGATTGGGTGCACTGCGTTTTTATTTATTAGCTTTGTTTCTGGCTTATATTCTACCTTAAACATAGGCTGATCGATTTTTGCTCTGTTGATAATATTGAGAACACTTTTAACAGAAAATCCTGCCTTCTCTAGAGCATGAGCAATATCAGCAATGGATACACTTTATTCTATACCTTTAATTACTACTTGCAGTCCTTTGCTGCTTTTGAGCTGGTACGTATAGAAGTTTTTCTTATCTTCGTTAAGGTGTTTGGTTACCAACCGGTAATTTTCTTCAGTTAGAATCTGAAGTTTGGTCTCTTTAATATTGCCCTTGGTAACTGATGTTACGTGGAACGTATTGTCTCCAATAAGCTGAGTTAATTTATTCACGAGCTATCTACAGTTTTGCTCTCGTAAATAAATTGGGGGCGGTTTGGATTTGGCTTTAGAAACTTCATTCGACTCTTTGTCACATTCATTGTCCAGAATCGCAAACTTATTTCCCAGTAGAGGGTTAATGTCAGTGGTTTTCGTTTTTGCAATTTTTGATGAGTTTGCAAATTTTTTGCTGCTGTGGGCTTAATGTTCGTTTGACTTGTATATACCTATCAATACCCGTTTGAGTCAATGTACGGGTTGTTGGATTAAGTAGGACAACTTGCGCTGAGCTGCGTTGCTTGGCTTGGGCTGGTGCCGAAATTTCCGTTTGTGCGATCAGCATTGTTTGTGGGGGAAACGAACGAAAAGTAAGCATTTCGTCGATCAGCTGAGTGCTTTTGGTCAGCTTCTGTTACGGCAAGGTTTATTTCACTGCACTTGGTGCTTGATTCACTATTATTCGGTAAGCGCGGTGGGGCCGGAGATGCTTTTATTTTATTGTATGTTGGCACATTTATTTGAATTTCTCGCGGCATTGCGAAAATTCTGAAAAAAGTAATTTATAATTATAAGCAAATAAGCAGAAAGCTTATTTATGCCTAGTATTGTCTTTACTCGTTGGTTCTGTTTTTTTTTTTCTTCTTTGCTTTACGTGAATTATTAATAATTTCTCGGCGGAGCGATTAAAAAACACGTCCGCACAGGTTGACAGTTAATCGGTTACATATTTTAACTTCCAATTATATTTGATCCATATCTATGCATGTATGTATGTAGTTTATGTACTTTTAAAAGACTGTTCTTGTCTTAAGTTGTACAAATGCTTTCATCAATAAATATCACAAATCACAAATATCACTTGCGCCGGGAACTTAATGTTCGGCTCCACCCGAACTTAGACTTTTTTACTTTTTATATATTAACCTTTCTTACACTCTCATGGAAAGCCGAGGTAGTTACGCACATTTAAATATCTTAACTGATTTTCTCAGACAAATAGTTGATTAACTTCAAACAATTGAAAAAATTTACTTCTCCTTGAGTTCAAAATTTGGGGAACTTTTTGTTCGATATTTTCGAATATCATGACGAAATACAAAAACTCGGTGTCTTCTTTTTTCGTTAAAGAATGTAAAAAATATATATTTCACCCCAAAAAAAGTATTGAGGTGTAAATATTGTATGGAATGACCCATGTACATATTCATTGAAACCAATCTGAAAGAGCGTCACTTCTTCGTTAACAAGGCGTAGAAAGCTTAGCTGGGGTGCAAGGCAGCGTAATGGCCCTACGTAATCCTCCATACGTGAAATTGTCTATTGTACATGGCGTCACCATTGGCACTTTTTCTAATAAATCTTTTCCAATCTTTCCAACTGAACTATGTTAACATACCACAAAGCAACGAAACTAAATTTCTTGGAATGCACTTTGATAGAAGATTAACTTGGAGAGCTCACATCCTTACTAAGCGTAAAGCTCTCGGCCTAAAATTACGTCCTCATTGAGCCATAAATTCGAGTTTAACGTTTTGAGTTTATGAGCAACTGTCAAGTGTTCACATAGGGGTGTTTAAGAAGCTCAGACTTTAATTTGACTTTTTTTTGTTTACTTTTTCTTATTCTCATTTACCTTGCTCCCTAACTACAGGATTTAAAACACACACAAATAAGTCTAGAATACCAATCGTTTAGCTATTAAAAAACAAGAAATCGATAGAACTTTTTACGCTGATTTCAACCATGCCAAAATTATTTGATGAAAATAAAGACAAAATCCAATAAAAGAGCTTACATTCCAAAAATTTCTATTTCTTATGTGTTTAAACTGCTTAACCGATTAAAAAGTTATTGATACTCATTTCAACATAATTTAAATACGTTTTATGCGACGTATATACTATAACAAGTTTTAAAACTAATTGCATATAAACACCATTTAAAAAAATATATTTATATTTTTTTGTGTTTTTAGTATTTTCGGATTAAAACTATAAAAAATCATATAAATTATATACATGTATGACAGCCAAGTTAATTACCTCTATTTTAACGCCATTAGTTTTGTTATAGGTTATGTTGTTCAGAAGATATAATTATTTAAAGAAATCAAAACATTTAAGTTCAACCATTGATACATTCTTTAGTCTTTACTTCCACCAGATAATTTTGGTAGGGTTGAAATCAGCACTAGAAGTGTTATCGATTAATATTTTTGGTTTTTGCATAACTAGATTGTTGATATTCTAGACTTATAGCGGAGACAGACAGGCTGAGATAAGTTGAATTAAGTGGCACAAATGCAAATATCATGTTTACCCCTGACAGACAGCACCATTGTGCATAACAAATTTTCTTCTTCTACCTGCGCATTTAGTTATCAGCTGATTTGACAAAAACTTTGAGCTCAAAATGGAAAGAAGAGAAAAAATACGTTTAGCAGCTATTTTGTTGGCAAAAAACAATTACTTATTTAAAAAGAAACTTAACATTCTTCTCTTAAAAGTATTCAACAATATGAAAATAATTAATGCATTGGCAAGCATAGACCTTACCACGATGTTTGAAGCTGGGATTGTTACACTTCCTGATATAACAGAAAGGCAGCTGTGGAAATTGGTAAGCATATCTTTTATTTCCATTAGTACAATAAACATGCAATATTCTTTAAAGGATCGCAGTGGCGCTTTTTGGGAACGTGATGTGCCTTTAATGGACGAAAATCGTTTCAAAGAAAATTTTCGACTCAATAGAAATGCTTTTCGGATAATTTGTGAAAAAGTTCGAGGCATCGAAAAGGCGGACACTCATATGAGGCCATGCATTCCACTTCATAAAAGAGTTGCTATCTCACTATTCGCATTGGGATCTGCAGCGGAGTACAGGACTGTTGCAAGTCTTTTCCGAGTAGGACGCAGTACTGTTGGTGAAATTGTTTTGGATTTTTGCCAAGCAGTATGCGAAAATCTATCTGACTGCATTAATTCCTATCCTCCAAATCAACGCGAAATCAGAAAAGTTGTTGATGGATTCGCGCGAATTGGGTTTCCTCAATGCTTTGAAGCTGTGGATGGCTGCCACATAGTAGTTCAACCACCAAAAGATGATGCAACAGACTAATACAATTACAAGGGTTGGTATTCAGTGATCTTGCTGGCGAGCTGTGACCACCGGTATTTTGAAACTTTTATTAAAATTCATTTATAACAATTTAATGTAATGCCTAAACTTTTTACAGATCAAAATTTACTAACATAAATATTGGATCTACTGGTAGAAACAACGACTCTTATATTTTCGAAAAGAGTGCATAGAAAAGATTCCATGAAACTGCCGATATTTTTACGCAGAATGGCAAATTTATAGGCGGCATCAATGTACCCGTTCTACTAATAGGCGATTCTGCTTTTCGGTATATGATGAAACCGTTTTTATATTCGCCGAATCAGCCTTCTATAGAAAAAACCTTTAACTACCAACTATCTAGGTGTCGTCGTCTAATCGAAAATGCATTCGGTCAACTTAAAGCACGGTTCAGAAAAATAGGTAGAGGCTTACAAGTCGCCCTAAAAAAAACATAAGCACCATAGTTAGAACATGCTGCATTTTGCACAACTTCTTGAAATTAAAAAATGACGAAGTTTCTATTGGTTGGATGCAAGATTCAAGAGAAGATATTTATGCTAGAAGTCAGCCAAGCCACACTACAAGAGTTGGCGAAAATGATGAGAGTGCGACCGCTATTAGAACTGCAATAGCTCGCAGTTTCCGTAAGCACAAGTTTCCTATAAACATTAATCTATATCCGAAAACACCAATAAATAATTAAATTCATTCTTTTATTAATCCACTTTCTTACTATTAACTATCTTTTTGATGCATTTTTTTTATTTTATTAATTCTACTTACTAACTATAAAAACCTATTAATCTAATAACTATAAAATTAAAGCAAATTACGTCTATTCATTTGTGTCATTTCACTTAGTTTTTAAATATTAATTTTAACATGCACTCGTCTTAATTTAATAACTATAAAATTAAAAAAATATCAGTCTACTCATTTCACTTTTAAAGAAATTAATTTTAACAAGCACTTGTAATCTAATAACTATAAAATTAAGAAACAATTCAGTCTATTAATTTCACTTTTAAAGAAATTAATTTTAACAAGCACTTGTAATATAATGACTATAAAATTAAAAAACAATTCGGTCTATTCATTTATGCCATTTCACATATTTTTAAAATATTAATTTTAACATGCACTCGTCCTAATAACTGTAACCCACCCCATATTGACAAGTTTTGCCAACTATTTTTTTATTATTTAAGTCATTTTCAATATAGTCTATTTTTAAGCAGAAACTGTATAATTCCAAATTTCCAACTTTGTGTAAAAAAGTAGAAAATTTTTGCAAAATTCTATCTAAGTTTTGAGCTTTTTAATGTTGTTTAAAAACATTTTTAATATGCAGTTTTATAGCCCATTGAAGAAACTTCGCACTTGCACTTTATTGTACTAAAATTTGATAATCTATAAAACTGCATACTACAAATCTTTTTAAAAAATCTTATCAAAAAGCTAAACATATAGATGGATTTTTGCATAAGTTATCTACTTTTTGAAATGTGGATTTGTACAGTTTTTGCTTAAGAATAGACTACATGTATTTTTTATAAAAAAAAAATTAATTAAATAATAAAAATATTAGTTGGTAAAACTTTTCAATGTGTGGTGGATTTATAGTTATTACGACGAGTGTATGTACGCTTATTGTCTAAAACTTATCTATGAAAATCTTCATTAAATTTAAAAAACTCTTTGGAGGTGTCATTTTGCTCCCTTATGGCAGTAACAACCTCATTTGTTAGCACCTTGGTATCATCCACAACACTCCTCAGCAATTCTGTGTGTTCATGCATGATCCTGATCACTTCTCCCGTATGTTTTCTTTTTCTTCCAGAAGAAGCAGGTGCAGATGAATCACGAGGCGATACAGCTGATGCTAAAAGCAGTGGTACTGGCGAGGGCGTCGATGCTGCTGCTATGGATGTCGATGGTGAAGGTGTTGACGGTGCTAACGGAGGCGATGGAGATGGTGCTACTACCGACTGGCTGGATTCATTTAGTATTGTGTCCTGGGAACATATGCAAATATTTTGGAAAACAAAATAAAAGTGAACTGAAAATACATACTAATAAAAATGACTCGTGTACTTCCGCATTGTTAACAGCGGTTCCTCCAATAATTTGGTGTAGCGCTATATAATGCTTCCATGTTGATGGACTGCCACCTGACGCACCCACATTCTTTTTCTCATCCCTGTGAATTTATGTACGTACATATTTATATGTCAATATTGTGCGCCAAGTTTTTTTGATAGACGGGGTACGGTTTAGTTATTTGCCCAGTGATTTCGAGCTATTGTATCCGAATGGGTGACCCGATACACACAGTTGTAGCCAAGGGCCTACATTTCATTATTGAACCTAATTTTGTAATTTTCGTTCACTCATTTATTAATAAAATCGGTCTGTAATATGCAATTTTTTTTAAACTTCGGAGTGAGTTATACCATTTCCAATGGGTACCCCAGAGGCTTTGGGGATGTTTTAAGGGGTCAGTTATGACTTTTTACAAAGTGTAAACTATGCTGTTTCTAGTGAGTGGGATATCAAGAGCCTCACCAGCTCCTCCTCCGCCCACTAACCCAAAAACTGTGGGCAAATAACTAAACATTCCCTGATAGAAGAACTTACCTATGTTTTTTGGGTCAAATTGCGCACTTTTGTATGCGCCATTTGCTTGGAAATATCAGCATAAATATGCCCATTTCGTTTGGCTCGACGCAAATCAGCAGCACGTTGCGCCCACAGCTCAATCAGGATTTGGTCATCCTGCTCGCTCCATACAACACGTTTTTTTGTTGCTGACATCTGAAATTGAGAAATACACATTTTGAATATTATATTTGTTTAAATTTTACGTTAAATAAATAAAAATACTGACCTTTGCTTATTTTTCGTTTTTTCAGTATGTATCAGTAATGAATGTGTATGTATCAATTTTCTTTTGACAGTAGCAAACTCAACTTCTGCCATTCACAATAGTAAACAGCTGTCAAATTCGGCAGTATTGCCATATTGAAATTCGCAAATGCTGTCAAAATTCACGAAATTTGCTTGCATTAAATCTGCATTTAGAAGAGGAAAGTGCACGAGTTAAAGCACGGAACGACCTCGGACTATCTCTGATTAAATCCTGTAGTACGGGAACAGGCTAACTGTCGGTAAGTTGGTTGCAGGTTTGGATTATCAAAGACACAGACCAAATTCCATAAGAAAACGGTTGCATTCGGATAAACTTCAAATAAAAGTTGTGTTTAAGGAGAGTTTAACGAAACGTTTGTATGGAAACTCCGACTTTAAGAGTAGAGTTTAGCGTTAAACTCCAAAATGGCCCATAAACTCGAGTTTGTGGATCAATGAGAACGTAACATAAAGATAAGAAACTTACATTGGATTATAAACCGTAACTTCCAACTATCAACCTTTGCTGTACTCAACTGCCATAAAACAGATTTGGAGCTACGGTATTTAGCTGTGTGGCGACGCACCAAACTCAAATATCGAAATACTACAAAGATTCCGATTGAAAACTCTTAGGGCCGGTTACTCAATGTCTGGTTAGCAGTAATCTGCGGTAAACGTAGTTATAGACTTTACCGACTCCCTGTTATATGCATGGAGTCTAAGACGTCGATAACGATGTTTAACCGCAGATTAGTGTTAACCAGACATTGAGTAACCGGTGCCTAGAATGATTGTTAGCACACTTCAATTCATTACTAACGGCCAACTCCAACGGTTGCATTCCATAAACGGCAATGAGACAATGACTTTATAATTTTATATGTATGAACGTTGAGACAAATAATTTGCTGAATGTATTACGTACAGATGGCAATAAACAATTACATTCGAAAAAATAAATAATATAAAAAAAACTTTTTAATATACAACGCTTTTATAAATGGACTAAAAAGTAGAAAATAATATTTCTCAGTCCCATAGAATTTGTTTTGATAACTTTTGATTTTGAAATTTTAGCAAAAGTCATTATAAACAATCTATGAAATTGAAAATGAAAAACGTGGAGCGCATGCAATACAAAGCATTCGATTTAATTGACAATAGTCAAACTACATAACGTAGACCTAAAATTTCTACAGCGAAAGTAGAACTTTGAAATCGATTTTAAGCGGTCGTTATTCGTATACCCACATACATACATACATATATTACATTTCATATCAATTCAAGTGTATTACATGCGCCTCACGCTTTTCATTTTCAATTTCATAGATTGTTTATAATGACTTTTGCTAAAATTTCAGAATCAAAAGTTATCAAAAAAATTCTATGGGACTGAGAAATATTATTTTCTACTTTTTAGTCCATTTATAAAGCGTTGTATATTAAAAAGTTTTTTTATATTATTTATTTTCTACTTTTTAGTCCTGTCTGAATAAA